GCGTCCTGAAAGACCTGGATGTGGCGATCCAGGCCGGCAGCGCCACCAGAGCTGGACCAGCGTGTAGTGACGACACGCTCGAAGGCGTCAGTCACATCGTATCGGCCTTCGAACCGATCCTCGAGGAACGCCTGGAAATCCACGAAGGTCGGAGTCCGACCCTCACGAAGGGAGTAGGCATAGAAATCCTCCCAGGCCTCGAAAGGACCGCCACGCAGGCGCGTTGAGAGGTGACCCACCCACGTCTCGGGTGTGGCGCCCATGAGCTGGAGTGTGCGGGTGGCAGACTGCAGCCACCGAGACACGCGTATGCCTATACCGTCATACAAGGCAATTTCCGACAAGCGGATGAGTGGTGCGCCACCATTTTGGCGGCGAGGGGATCGAGGAGCGGAGGCCTGTGCCACGGCTGAGTAAGTCGGTGCAGGTCCTGGAGAAAGGGGCGCAGTTGACTGTGCGCCCGGGCCGCATGGGGGAGCAGCGGTGGCAACAGCGGCAGGCTGCGAGGGTGCTGCGATAGAAGAGGTCGCAGCAACCGCGGGAGTAGGAAGAAGGTAGGAAGGAGTTGTATAGGGTGCAGGGCGTGGGAAGTGAGCCTGCATGGGAGGAAGGGTAGAGGAGGTAGGGGGTGCGCCCGAAGGCGCGGCCACCTGTGAGGGTGTGGATGGCTGAAGGCGTAAGAGGGCGAGGTCAGCCCGGAGCTGGGCAATCTCGTCTTCGAGACCTCCAACATAGGTCTATCGAGGGGTGGCAGGAGGAAGAGTGGAGGGGGTGGACGCACAAGCGGCGCAGGGCATCCCAGAGGGGGGAGAGCCAGGTGGCGCTGCGGTCGTGCGAAGGGGAGGGAGAAGCGGGGCACCCGTAAAAGCTGAGACCATGGTAGCGGGTTGTTGTACCGTGGCCGTAGGGACCGGGATCTGGCCGGGTGCACCCGTAGACAAAGAGGGGGCCTGGCTCGTGGCGGCCGTCGTGCTAGGGGCGTGGACAGTCACCAAGATGGCCGGGTCAGGGGCAACGGAGGAGGAGGCTCCGCCGTGGCCACCCTGTCGGAGGACGGGGGACCCGGACTGGGAGCCAGGAGATGACGGACACGCAGCGTCCTGGAGTTGCTGCATGCCGGCGGCAAGGGTCGCCACCTGCGCCTGTAAGGGCGCGAGGGTCGCGAGTTGCGCCTGGATGGGCGCAAGGGTCGCGAGTTGCGCCTGGATGGGCGCAAGGGTCGCGAGTTGCGCCTGGATGGGCGCAAGGAGGGAGGTGAGGAGGGTGTGTAGATCCCCCTGGGGCTGATGGCCCTGGTCCACCGGCACAGGTGTGGAGCCCGATGTCGTGGTCATCGCCGTGTCGGCGGCGTGTGACGCACCGTCGGCCATGGGGAGATGACGGACCGGACTGGAGGGGGCCAGAAGAGGTCCGCGTGAGCGGAGGGCGTAGGGGGAAGTCCGCGGTAGAAAGCGGCGAACGGCGCTAGCAAGGCTAGCACGGGCGCCATCAAAGGGGGAGGGATGGTTCGGGTCCAGGGTGCCCGAAGAGGACGGGGAAGTAGGGGGGGTTTGAGAAACCCTAAACCCTACTAAAACCCTAAGAAAACCCTAACTGAGGTTTAAGTGGCTAGGGTAGGGTACCGATGACCTAATCAAGAAAGTAAAATAGCAAGCATAAGGGGGGGGAGACGGGAGAAAAATAAATAAACAGCGAGATTTCGAGAGAAAATAAAAATAAATAAGAAAATAAATAAATAATAAAAATAATTAAAGAAATAAGTAAAGAGATGTGAAGGGAAACAATATTTATTTATTTATTTATTTATTTATTTATTTATTTTATTTTTATTTTTTATTTTTATTTTTTTGAAAATTTCGGCAGCATTTCCCTACCCCCCACGGGGTCAAGAATGTGCCAAGGGGAAGGGAGAGACCAAGGTGAGCACACTAGGTGTTAAGATGCCGCAAACAAAAAAGAAATTTCAGAAAATAAATAAAGAAATAATAGATAAAGAGATAAATTTGAAAAATAAATAAATAAATAAATAAATAAATAAATAAATAAATAAAGAAGTAAAAGTGGATGAGGAGGTGGGGAGGAAGGACATATCTAATTTGTCAAAAAAATTGGCAGCATTTCATTACCCCCATGGGGTCGAAGTGTGCCAAGAAGACTAGGTGAAAGAAAAAAAACAGAAAATTTCGGCAGCACTTCTTTACCCCCACGGGGTCGAAACGTGTGCCGAAAGTAGTAAAGACTAACACCTAATCAGATTTAGGGTTGCCGTAAAGAAAATCAAATTTTCAGACTAAATAGAAAAAGAAATAAAATAAATCAAAAAATGAGAAAAGAAGGTGGGAAAGAAGATATTTCGAATTTTTGGAAAAGAGAAAAGATAAATCAAGAGAGATATAGAAAAAAAGAAAAACAGAAAAATTCAAAGTGGGTTAAAATGGGAATGAAAATGTGAAGGAGAAGAGAAGGAAATAGGTGGGGGAGGGAAAAAGATGAAGTGGGAGGTGGGGGGATGAGGTGGTGGTAGTTGGGGGAGAGGAGGGTTGGGGAAAGGTGGAGAGAGATCAAGAAGGAAGGAGAGAAGAAGGGAAGAAAAGGAGAGATGAAGAAAATAGAGTAAAAGAATGGGTGGTGGGAGAAAGGTAGGGTGGGGAAGATAAAAGGAGGAGAGAAAAGATGCAGTGGAAGGTGGGGGGAAGAGAAGGGGTGAATAAGAGGAGAGAGGAGAGGTAGGGAGAGTGGGTTAGTAGAGGGAGAGGGGAGAAGGRAGTGATACYTGGCCCTTGGTGTCTCCAAGGGCACAAGGTACACCAAGACCAGGAGGGTCTTGGCCTTCACTGCAGCAAGCCAGCTGTAGGGGAAAGGGGGTTGAGATCTTGATCAGCCCCTAGCAGCCATTGTTCTGCAGATGTGCAGATCTAGGGTCTGCTGTGTGAGCAGGCCCTCACCACTGTAGAGCAGCCCCCTAAGCAGGGGGGTCTTCTGTTCCAGCACCAGCTGCCACGTGGCAGGGCAGATGGCCACGT